CGGGGCTCCACTTGCCAGAATCTCTCTCCAGATGGCCAGGGCGGGCACTTGGAGCTGCTTTACAGGCCCTTGGCTTTCATCACCTTGTGGGTAGATGCGGTGGACGGTTCAAATCGAGACCGTAGTGTATTTCCCTTAGCCAGCCCCAGGCTCACTGGCTTCCAGATGCTTTCAGTCGCTCAGACTTTCCCCTTTGCTAACTCAGGTCCGCACCAGAGATCCCGCTCCCTCGGCTCCGCGGCCACCCCTCCACCCGCCTCCCTCCTCCAGAGCTGTTTCCCGATCTTGCCTGATGATAGCCATTTGTTTAAAACACAGACTTCCACACTTTCTCTAGAAATTCTAGATGTCTAGAGAGAGAGGCTCAGGGATCTGCATTTCAACAAGTACCCCGGGAAAGTCTTACTGGCAGGCAAGTTTGAGAAACCTGGCGGAGGGTTTCCTCGGTCCCCACGGTTCTTCCCCGAACGCCCCTCACCGGTCCTGGATGAGCCGGGAGTAACTCCGGTTTGGTAACTCTCGGGAGTAACTCCGGTTTGGTAACTCTCGCCAGTGCCAGGTTCCCTGGCTGCCCACCTGTGGTTGCCAGGCGACCAGACTCTGTCCGCGGCTCAGGAGAGATCTCGCGAGGTTCCTGGAAGCGCCCTCCTCTGTGGCGTGGCGGGGTCCTGCTCCCTGTGACGCCGGGCGGGGTGGGGGTGGCCCTGGACGGGGTCTGAGCGCAGGCAGGCAGCTGGATGAGGCGGCAAGGATCGCTCACACTGGGCTGTTAGTGGCCAGCCTTCCTGCCAGAACAGTTTTTGGCAGGTCGTCATTTCCCTCTCCTGGATTTTCCTTGCCATCAGTTTTGAACTTTCAGTGCCCCCAACTCACCACCTTTCCCCAGTAACAGCCCAGGAAATAGATTGTTTAAATCCAAGTAAAGCCCTTTACTCAAACAAAATCCAAATTAGTTAGGGTGACATTGCAGTCCGTTCATCATGGCCAGCCTCACTGTTTGCCTCTTGCCCTCCAGACTTCAGTATTCCGATCTGGCACTTGGCACAATATGTCTTGTCCTAATAAACGTCACCCTCTCCTCTCCTCGCCCCAAGGTAGCAAATAGAACACACTTTTTCCCCTCCTTAATTCTTATTTTCCCTTTTAAGACGGAAGGACTCGGCTTGGGATGAGCGCACATCCTTTCTGAAGCCTTTCTAGGTGCTGGGGCTTGTGAAGTAATTATTGCTTTCTGCCCCCCAAACAACTAGGATATATTAAATTCTTTAGCACAGTACTTACCACACTACTGTATGTTTGTTACTTACCCATATCTTTAATAAAATGGTAAATTCTTTTAGAGCAAGGATTGTGTCTTTTTTTTTTTTTTTTCAAGGATTGTGTCTTTTATCTCGCTATTCCCGGGACTTGGCAAAGTGCTTTCTAGATTAGCAGCCACTCCATAAGTGTTTGTTAAATAATTTACACGTGAAGGAGACTAAGGACAATAGAAGAAGGAACTGACATTTATAGTGGAAAGACTGGGACTCATTAGGGATATGGTAAAGTGAGCAATCTGGATGTAAGGACCGTGAAAGCTGTATAACAGTGGTTGACAGCTGTGATCTAAGGAGGTGGGGGCATGCTGGAAGAGGTGTCATTGCTGTTCCTGTAGAAAGAAGGGCCAGAGGAGATTGTTAGAGTTAAAGGCAGCTTGGAGCCCATGTGGACAGTCCAATTTGCCATTTTGCAGATAAGGAAACTCCCAGGCCTAGAGATAGGAAAGAAATAGGCTGAAGGGCACAACTTAGGTGGCAGAGAGGGAGCTTACCCTTGGGCTCCTGATTCTCAGGTCCTCTTTCCTTCTATCTCACTGACTGTCACAGTAAGAGTGCCTGGATAGAGGGACAGAGGGATGGGGACAGGTGATCCCTAACCCATTCAGGTCCTCTTTCCTTCTATCTCACTGACTCACAGTAAGAGTGCCTGGATAGAGGGACAGAGGGATGGGGACAGGTGACCCCTAACCCATTCAGGTCCTCGTTCCTTCTATCTCACTGACTGTCACAGTAAGAGTGCCTGGATAGAGGGACAGAGGGATGGGGACAGGTGACCCCTAACCCATTCAGGTCCTCTTTCCTTCTATCTCACTGACTGTCACAGTAAGAGTGCCTGGATAGAGGGACAGAGGGATGGGACAGGTGACCCCTAACCCATTCAGGTCCTCTTTCCTTCTATCTCACTGACTGTCACAGTAAGAGTGCCTGGATAGAGGGACAGAGGGATGGGGACAGGTGACCCCTAACCCATTCAGGTCCTCTTTCCTTCTATCTCACTGACTGTCACAGTAAGAGTGCCTGGATAGAGGGACAGAGGGATGGGGACAGGTGACCCCTAACCCATTCAGGTCCTCTTTCCTTCTATCTCACTGACTGTCACAGTAAGAGTGCCTGGATAGAGGGACAGAGGGATGGGGACAGGTGACCCTAACCCATTCAGGTCCTCGTTCCTTCTATCTCACTGACTGTCACAGTAAGAGTGCCTGGATAGAGGGACAGAGGGATGGGGACAGGTGACCCCTAACCCATTCAGGACATTGTTGGTAAGTCCAGTTGTAGGCAGTTTTGGCCTGGATTAGCGTGAAGGCAAAGAGAGTGGCAAGAAATGAACAAATTTAGGAGGCATTTTGAAGCAGGATTTAATAGAGAGGAGAAAGGGAGGGAGAAGATAATTGAAGATAATTCTCAGGTGTTTGTTAGGATAAAGAAACAATACTGGAGAAAAAGGAAAGGTGGCAGGTAACTTGAGGGGAAGTAGATGAGTTTGTTTTGCACATATATGAGATGAGATAGGTTTAATGGTTTCCAGAATAAAACTAATCATTGAACCCAGAAGGCCAAGATAGTAGTGAGGGAGGAAGTAGGGAAAAGAGAAATATAGCAAATCAGTATCTATGCCAACTAGTTTTGATGGAAGAGGGAAGCAAAGCTGGTTAAGGTGTCAGAGAAAGATTCATGAGAAGTGAGATATGTTCTGAGAACAAATAGTAATTCTGTGATTGAGAAACATATAATTTAGATTCAGACACTGGGAAGAATTTAAGGAGGCAGTTACCTAACAGAATAAAAAGCTACAGAAGGATATGAAGAAGTAAAAGTATGATCAAAATAATATGCCTAAAACACTATGACACAGATCAGATGCCCTTCTTACCTGTTTTGTAGATCATTCCTTTGGGAACAACAGCTTTAGTAATGTATGCAGGGCTGTCTCATTGCTGTTTGTAGCACTCACTGAACCTGCTTCTAACATTACTTTGCTAGAAACATGTTTAGCAATGCCTTATTAAAAATTAGTTGCTCTGTTAAATCTGTTTTGTAATGATTTTATAAATAATAAAAAGGAATATGATCTCATTTGTGGTAAAACTATACACACATTTAAATGTCTAAAATATATATTTATGTCTAATAGTATAGATTTAGATAGAGTTATTTACATCCATACCTATACTATATACCAAAATATTTAATAGTGGTTATTTCTTGGGATTATGCTTGTTTATTTCTCTTAATTTAGTAATCACATTTTAAAAAAATGATAAAATTCTGAAAATCCATTTTTAGATTCTGCTCTTTGTGGAATTGAAAACCTCTTTGTGACTGTTGGTATTTAAAATAATTTAAAATGGTTGAATTACTAATTAATTTTAAGAGAAAGTATTTTCTCATTAAGATGTGAAATATAATTCCTGTCTAGTGGCACACAGTGTTAAACAATCATCTGCATATTTTCCAATGTGGCAGAAATTTGGCAGACTACAAGAAATACTTGTTTTCAGTGCAACATTTGTAAGTTCAGTGTAAAGTATTCTAAGAGTTACACTTTGACAGATGTTGGGAAATTTGTATTTGTAAAAAAAAAAAAAATGGAGTCTTGACAATCATTTTAAAAGGCAGTCTTGGAAGAATTGCTCTAAAAAGCACATTTAAAAAAGTCTCCACTTGAGTTTCCAAGTAACTTTAGACAGAAACAAACTTTTTATTTTAAAAATTGTTCTATATATTTTTGTATATTTTTTGTATTTCTTGACCTCTAGAGCACTAAGCAAATACTTTAATGATTAGTTATTTTCATTGAGAAATCAACATTTTAAAGAGCCCAGACAAGTATATCATCATATAACTCCATACAGAAAAATTAGCTTTTATTGGCGTTAACTCCTCTTTTTGTGTTGACCTTGTAGATCAGTGATGGCGAACCTATGACATGCGTGTCAGAGGTGACAGGCGAACTCATTTTTTTGGTTGCTTTTTCTTTGTTAAATGGCATTTAAATATATAAAATAAATATCAAAAATATAAATCTTTGTTTTACTATGGTTGCAAATATCAAAAAATTTCTATATGTGACACGGCACCAGAGTTAAGTTAGGGTTTTTCAAAATGCTGACACACCGAGCTCAAAAGGTTCGCCATCACTGTTGTAGATTGATAAAATATAAGTGAGTATGGTAGGCAGACTTTTTTTTTTTTTCAAACTAAGAAAAGCTTTATTTTAAGACAAAACAAACAGGAAAAAGACATCCAAATGTGAGAGAGTTCACTGTATTTTTTAAAAGAGAAAGCTGCACTTAGGTGTCAGTTAAAACCAGAACCATTGTAGAGATGCCTGCTGTTTGTGGTGACAAAGTTACAACATGTGTTTGCCTGAGAAGTCTTTCTATGGTGGCATAAATGTGGGACTGCATGACAAGAGTGAAGCAATACAAGGTAGAATGGCAAGTGGGTAAATGCACTAATGTGCTCTTGTTCTGTTTTGGAGAATTAAAGGAAGCAGCAGGTCACATCACAAAGAACTATATCAGTGATGGCGAACCTTTTGAGCTCGGGGTGTCAGCATTTTGAAAAACCCTAACTTAACTCTAGTGCCGTGTTACATATAGAAATTTTTTTATATTTGCAACCATAGTAAAACAAAGATTTATATTTTTGATATTTTTTTATATATTTAAATGCCATTTAACAAAGAAAAATCAACCAAAAAAATGAGTTCGTGTGTCACCTCTGACACGCGTGTCATAGGTTCGCCATCACTGAACTATATTGTCAAAGAACACTTACAAAAATTGAAAATGGATGTGAGGTTGTTACTAAAGGTATACAGGGAGGTTAGTGGGGAAAAACCACTTTTGTTCTCAAAAACCAGGTTTCATACAATAACAGGCACTAAAACTAGTTGTGTGTGCTTGCAACAGGAGAGAATACTCTTAATAAAGGCTGGTCTTTTTCATGATACGCAGGAAATCTTCCTCATCGACTTCCCTGCTTCCATCTCGATCAGCTTCATCAATCATTTCCTTCAGCTCCTCATCAGTGATGTTCTCACCCAACTCATTGGATACACATTTGAGATTGTCGAATGATATGGTCCCAGTTTCATCATCATCGAAGAGCTTGAAAGCTTTCAGGATGTCTTCTTTGGAATCTTTCTCACACATTTTTTGAGTCATCACAGTCAAGAAGTCATTGAAATTCATTTTTCCTGTCCCTTCTTGTTGGGGTCCAACCCCAGCAGGTCCAGGGGTTCCCAAAGGTGTGGATGGAGTCGGCGAAGAAGGAATGACATGGAGACAGCGTTCAGTTGATCAGCAGCCTAGCCAGGTTCTCCAGCCAGGTTCTTCAGCCAGGTTCTCTCTTTATTCTCCTGTTACATGTGTATTTATACCATTTGATTTTAATCCTATCCATTCTATTCCAAAGGTTAGGGCATTTGTTATCTCCATTCCAAGGTCACTACTCTATTGTTCTGTTAAGCTACAAGGAAGTAACTGAAGGAGATTATCCTAAGTAAAGATTATGTAGCTTAAGTGTGATTGTTCGTAGTTAAAGTGATTAACTACCTGCCTGGCACTTAGTTAAGGGGTTTTACTAATTTATTCCCTTCCTTAGTTAATCCCTAACTCCAGGGAAAAATCCCCACCTGGGGAAACAACCTTTCTCAGAGAGGTGACCTTGGTTAAAACACATAGTGCTAAGAAGGGGAGCAAACATATTAAGAACAGTATGCCATATATGCCAGGTCCCTTGAAACATATGCTGTGCAGATGTTTCTTCCCTGCAGCGACTGTGTCAAGCAGTAAGGATGGACCGGCTTCCGGCACCTTCTGGATCAATTTCACTTATCATCTTCATAATCTCTTCTTTCTTTGGTTCAAAGCCCATTGCTCTCATCACCACCTTGAGCTCTTTAAAATCAATGGTCCCAGTTGCATCAGTATCGAAGAGATCAAAAGCTTGGCGTAGCTCCTCTATCTGCTGTGGACTAAGTTCCAGCTTAGGACTCACTCTTTTTGGCTGGGAAGATGATGCCACGTTTGTCGTCTTAAAGCTAGAAGAAGCCTTCGGAGGTTCTGAGTCTTCTTTGGCCTGGAACAGGTTGCCTAGAGGACCATGCAAGCCTGGGTGCAGCTGTGGGCTGGCTGTGTGTTAAGAGGAGACAGCGAAAAGGGCACAGGCCCCGCGAGGAGGCTGGCGTTTCTTCAGACCCATCTCCGACTGACTCCCGCTCCCGATTCGGTAGGCAGACTTTTAAAATGGTCTAAATGAGCCCTAGCTGGTTTGGCTCAGTGAATAGAGAGTCAGCCTGCAGACTGAAAGGTTCCGGGTTCAATTCTGGTTAAGGGCATGTACCTTGGTTGCAGGCTCCTCCCTGGCCCAGGCCCTGGTCAGGGCGTGTACAGGAGGCAACCAATCAATGTGTTTCTCTCACAGCGGCCGGACTCCTCCTCCCGCACCGCCCGGAGAGGCGGGCGGCGCGCCTTTCATTCCCCCCTTGTCTTGGAACTTCCGGCTCAATCATGAGACGGACTGCATTTCTATTCCACCAAAACTATCAACTGAACTATCCCTATAAGCTTAACAAATGGTCCGGTGGAAGTGAAAGAAACTATTTTAGATTTAACAACTTCTATTGAAATAGGATTTTTCTTCTTAGAATTCCTCCATGGTTATCAAAAAAACCAAATCAAGATTTAATAGGAGGCTCAAGCATTCCTGTTTGTTAGGCTAGGTTTAAATTTAGAGTCTGTTGAACTAAGCCTTCGTTTTTCTGGGTACCATTTTCAGCTGGACCAAGTCTCTTCTGTTATTTGGTTCCTAGTCTGGGCTGGGCATGGGAAGCAAGAAGCAGCCATGGGGACAGGAGACCTTCCTCAGAAGGGGCGAGTGTTCAAGCCCCTGCACCATTGGGGGGGTGAGGATCTGTGCCCCACCTCTGTTGAACCCCAAGTTCTCTCCTACTGGCCCCCGGCTGTGCCTGTCTTAGGTCGCCCCACCCTGTGGGGTCTTACCCGTCTTTGACTACCAACCATCTCTGGGCCAAGTAGGGTGATGTGAGGTTCAGTTCTGTCTCCTTGTTAGCCTATGCCCCTATGGCCTCCATGCCCAGCACCTGCCTTGGGTTCCCCTCGCCTGCTGGCGGGGCCCTGGCATTGATCACATCTCTTGGGAAACCCAGGTTTCTTCTCCAGAGAGGGCCCAGCTTACGCCATTGGGCAAGAGACAGATCCATGGTACCAGCTTTTCATAAACCCAGCTTGAACGGAGAGCTCAGACAACAGCTGTAGACAATTGGGATCCTCTTGGCAATACAGAATGCTTAAGTGCCTTCCCAGGAGGGAATAAATCCCTTCACGTATTGCCAGATTCCAGAGGAATTACATAAGGAGAAGAACATACTGATCTACTCTAAGATTTTCTGACTTTCCTTGCTAATTCCTTTTCATGGATTTAAAACAAAACAGTAACTGTTGGCATAAAACCTTCTTTCTATGCATAACCATGCCTCAGACCTTCTATTCTAAACAGGCTTTTTCCAGCTTTACTACCCCTGACATGGGCATGGTGACTCAGGCCTGCAAGACAGTATTACAGGCTGCCAACTGTTAGCTGTCTCTCAACAGAGACCAAAACCTGATGGGCACCATTTCCTGCCCAGTTGGGCACCTGCCCTCTTGGCAGCTAGACACCCTTTACTTTTGGGGGTCACCCCACACAGCTCCCTTCCAAGACAGCCAACATACATTCAAACCTGCAAAAGAATCAAAGGTTAATATAACATATCAATACAATGAAACATCATGGCCGCTTCAGGCAGCCAAATCTTCTGCTACTAAACATGTGATCCCATAAATTGTCCTTGTCTCTTTGGAGCCATGTCCATGAAGATGCAGGCATTATCTAAGTGTATTACACAGTATTGTGGGGGCTCCTGGTGACAGGAGTGATCGCGAGTCATGTTACCGGCATCAGGCAGGTTGAGCACGCCGTAGCTTGAGCTTGAGCGGGTTGCATTGATCTCGATCGATGCTCCATTTGGTGATGAAGTCTTTCCGGGTCATGGATGGATCTGCTGACCGGACGTGAGTGTGATGGACGCCGTCTACCTTGAGAGCGGTGGGGGTCGTCAGCACCACAGTGTAGGGACCCTTCCAACGTGGTTCTAGGGTCTCCCGGCGGTGCCTTCTGACGTAGACCCAATCTCCTGGTCTGTGCTGATGAGGAGTTGGGGTTGGGCTGGCCTCGTAGATGGCGCGGAGGCGCGGCCAAATGTCCTCATGCGCCTTCTGAAGCCCTCTCAAGGAAAGAGATAGTTCTTGATTTTCAAATTCAGCGAGAAGGTCAGCTTTAAGGTTAGGAATGATAGGGGGTGGCCTGCCAAACATGATTTCATAGGGAGTAAAGCCCAGGGTGTATGGGGAGTTCCTTACCCGGTAAAGGGCATACGGTAGGAGAGCCACCCAGTCCCTGCCAGTCTCCATGGTTAATTTGGTAAGGGTCTCTTTTAGAGTTCTGTTCATTCTTTCTACCTGACCTGAACTCTGGGGTCTATAAACACAATCTAATTTCCAATTTGCCCCAATAACCCTGGTTACTACCTGTGTTACCTGTGAAATAAAGGCTGGCCTGTTGTCGGACCCTATCATAGCAGGAAAACCATACCTGGGTAAGATGTCTCCAGCAGCTTCTTGGCCACCGTCTGAGCCGTTTCATGCTTGGTTGGGTATGCCTCTACCCAGCCAGAGAAGGTATCTATAAATACTAAAAGATATTTATAACCATACTTCCCTGGTTTAATTTCAGTGAAGTCGACCTCCCATTGTGCTCCCGGTTTGGTGCCTCTGAGCCTGGTCCCTTTTTCATTTGATCCGACTCTTGTGTTCGTGAGTTGACAGGTCTTGCAGGCAGACACAACCTGATTTATCTTGGTATTCTGCTGGTGAATCTTGATCCCGGCATGTCGGATTAAGTCCTTCATTTTCCAGGTTCCCAGGTGAGTGGACCAGTGCATATGTTCTAATACCGTGTCCCCGAGCTGGTCTGGCAGTATAAGTTCCCCTTCTGGTGTATGCCACCATCCCTTTATTTCCTGGGCTCTGGGGAGCTTTCTGATACGTTGCAATTCTTCCTGGGAGTACTTGGGCTGGTCTGGTAAGACTGGGTCTCCTGGGTCTGGGAGTTGTAAGGCCATGGTAGGGACTGAGGTAAGGGCTACTGCCTTCGCAGCCTGGTCAGCCTTTTGGTTACCTCTTGCTACCGGGTCATCGGCTTTCTGGTGTCCCTGGCAGTGGATTATGGCTAACTTGGCAGGAAGCCATAAGGCCGCAAGCAGATCGAGAATTTCCTGCTTATTTTTTATTGTCCGTCCCTCTGCTGTCAGCAGCCCTCTCTCCTGATAGATTGCCCCGTGGACATGAGCTGTAGCAAATGCATAACGGCTGTCTGCGTAAACGTTAAGCCGCTTCCCAGCCCCCAGTGTCCTTGCCTTAGTAAGGGCGATGAGTTCTGCTCGCTGGGCTGACGTCCCGGAGGGCAGGGCCTCCGCCCACACAGTGTCCGTGTCAGTGACCACCGCTGCACCCGCGTACCTGCACCCGTCCCGCACGAAGCTGCTCCCATCCGTGAACCAGGTGGCCTCTGCATCAGGGAGGGGCTGGTCGGTCAAATACTTCTGGAGTCCATGTACTTGCTCTAGGATTCCCGCACAGTCATGTAGTGGGGCGTCTAAGTCAGGGTCGGGCAGCAAAGTAGCAGGATTGAGGGCCGCACTGGGGTGGAACCGCACTCTTGGAGGGTTGAGTAGGAGGCTCTGGTAATGGGTTATACATGTGATACTCATCCATCTGTCAGGAGGCTGCTTCAGGACTCCCTCAATGGCATGTGGGGTTGTAATCCAGATTTCCTGCCCCAGGGTCAGTTTGTCAGCGTCTTTGACTAAGAGCGCTGTTGCCGCGATAATTCTCAAGCACGGTGGCCAGCAGGCAGCTACAGGATCTAACTTCTTGGACAAATAAGCCACTGGGCGGCTCCAGGGGCCTAAAGCTTGAGTCAAGACCCCTTTCACTATCTCTTGTGTTCATCTACAAAGAGGTGAAAGGGCTTCGTAATATCTGGCAGGCCCAGGGCTGGAGCATCTAGAAGGGCCTTCTTTAACTGCCTAAAGGCAGCTTCATCTTTCTCAGTCCAGTCAAACGCCCTTCCCTCTTTGGTAACTTCATATAGGGGCCTGGCGATTTCGGCGAAACCCGGTATCCAGAGGCGGCAGTAGCCGGCCGATCCTAGGAATTCCCTTACTTCTCTTCGAGAGGTGGGAGGAGTAGGGATTTTCAAAAC